TCTGTACAGGATTTGCTGTTGGCTATTCATGCACTCTGATTCCCAGAAGAAGCAGCAGTCCCTGAACATGAGAAGACATCACCATCTGACCTTGGAGACTATCTGTGTACTTAACGTACCTCACTGCAGATATGTCCTAAACAAAGAACCAACTAATAAACATTTAAAAGATTCTATGAAAAATGTTAATTATTAACACACAGATTTGACCCATGCCAAGGTTTTACATCACAAATAAGCAGCATATGAGGCACTTGTCCTTTTATTAACATGTGAATATGTTAATATGATACAAGTGACATTTAGGGAAACGAATAGCCCATTATTCCATAGGGGTCTCATTAAAGACAACCTCTCCTGAGGTTACTAGATGGTAAATTTCCTAAGTGGATTAGTAGGAAGCACGGAAAAATGAATGAACTTTGCAGTGACTGTTCTTTATAATGACTGCAGGTAATTAAAAAGACCAGAGGTATCTGGAGAATTCTAGGTCTAATAATGGTGTAACAGTATTTTAAAAACATCTAACGATGGAGTTAATTGAGCTTTAGAATTTATTTAGGCAGTCCCTGCATTAACAAGTATCTTTTACGTGATAGAGGAATTAGAAGTTAAATATTGGCTCAATAAGTCTTTTAAGACTTTTCCTATTTGCAGTGTTAGCCATTATTAAATAGTAATATTTACGTAAATTATAGTGCTGAAACCTTTTCAGTATCAGAAAATGTTGCCCTGAAAACTCATTAACTTTCGGCCACAATGTTCACAAAAAAATACGAGACAAAATAGGTGCTTAAGGCAGTGCTACAAGCTGAGTACAAATCCAGGTACTAAGAGGACATGGTCAGGTTCAGGAAGGCATCAGTACTCACCGCCTGCCCCTTTGAGCTCTGTGAAGAACAAGGGGAGAGACAGCATTCTGGGGGAAAGACTGTCTTTCCAAATAGCAGAGAGGTTTATTTTTTCCTGGCTCTCAGGAGAACTGCATTCTCTATATGTAAATGTTTAAAGTGCATATCTCAGCTGGACAGATGAGGATCTGATTTTCTTGGGTGGGATTTAGTTCATTTAACTGCTATGTTTCTATATTTTAATGGCGTAGTGAAGCAGCTCTTTCTGAGGAAGTCCCTAAGTTCCATAGATAGTCAAAAGGAGGAAGATAAATGGCTTTAAAGCACCAGAAAAGGTCAGGTACACCTAACTCCTGTACTCAAACTTCAATGAGTAAGAACTCCCTCTGGAGGTTTTCATGATCACCTAATACTTTCCATTTACAATAAAGTGAATTGAAGCATTTCAGAAAAACTCATCTTCAGAGTCTTAAAATATGGCTCTGTTAGATGCATAATTTGGCTGACCAGCATCCAAACATGCACTTCAATAAATAAATTACTGTGTCTTTTTAAGGACAAAAAGTTGTCAGCTACAGATTCTAACCACAAAGATAGAGGGAGAAATTTGGATAAAACATTTCTTTGGTGACTGATTTCATGACAACATAAAATGTTCAGCATTTCACATCATAATAGCCAGCAGAAGGCTGGAATTCTTGACGTTCCCCAAGTTGTATTACACCTGGATGGAATACTAAAGCAGAAAAGACAGTGAAGCCAAGCAGACAGCATGGATATAGCAACACTGTTGGCAGACATTCCTGCCACATGGAGGAATTAAGAAAGTGTTTGCTTACTCCACCACCTAATGACTCTGAGCTGGTACAGGAAATCATATGCAGAACCAACAAAGCAGTAATAATAATAACAGTAATATGGAATTTCCCATACTTTTCTGCATTCTAAGGTAGAAAAGCCATTAAATTCACTATAGCCATGCTGTCTTGTAGGCAATCTAGTAGCAGCAAGAATGATACTGAGCTCTGGAGGCCTAATCTCACTGAGCAACGGTCAAGCCATGTCTCCTTGATGTGCCCTTTCCAGGCCAAACCGCAGAGTCAACCATACCCACCCAGAGCATTCTCCTGACCTTCAACCTCATGCTCGGACTCCAAGGTAAAGTCAGTACTTATCTGGCTGCAACTGTATTAAAAAAAAAAAAAAAGGAAAAGGAAAAAAAAGTGGCTTTGTAATTATCTTTTTTTTTTTTTGTATTCTCACCATCTGAAGACTCCATATATTTTTTTCTGCTTTGCTGTACTGTCTTGTCTTTTTCTAACCTTCTCTGAAACTATCTGTCTTCCCATTTCTCTGTTTAATGCTCTATTGGTATATTTTATAATTGCAAAACATTTTGAGACATATTTGCGTGAAAGACAGTGTCTTGAGGAAGGGCCAGCTCACACTGTGCTGTTTGCACAAAAATCCAGAAGGAGGAAGAGCAATAAAAGAGCAACTTAATTACTTTGGAGCTGCAGCACTTCCCACTACCATGGCCTCTGCATGAGGTACTGACACAGCCATCAGAGTTGACTGAGAGGCCCGATCTTGCTGACAGCTCCTCTGGTGCAGCTTTACCCAATGCCACTGAGCAGCTCACAGCAAAAGAACAAGTCACAAAGAGCAGCAGGACATCAGTGATGCGACCCAATCTAAAACACTTAAAGAAATACCAGTGACCTCCAAGAAGCACAAAAGCCTTTCTGCCCTGTTCTCCTTTGCTGAACAAATCATACCCTCTTCTAGCAATGCTGTTCACCTCCCCTTGAGAGCTGCTTTATTCAGGAAAAGAGTGAAAAATCAGAGCACAGCTGCAAAAATTAATTCCCACTCATTGCCTAAGTACTGGTATTTTTTGTAGCTGTACAAGATAGGATGATATGACCTAACCTACATTATGTAGGTTGAGATTGTGAGACTTACTGGATAGATCTAGATCTGACTTCTGAGCTTCTTCTAGAGTCAAGGATTACTAGTGACTATGGCTGACGATGTGGCATAAGTATGGTTGTCAGTAGGAAGCACTTAGGAATTTCCTTATTCCTCAAAGGATTAGGCTTTGAACTAAAATCCAATAAAGTGATAAAAGTCCAAGGGATCACAATTCATTTTCTTTAGAAAATACTGATTTTTGTGGCCAGTGCTAGCAACAGCATGCCTGGCTTAGCAGTCACTTCAGCTCTGTTGCATCTACCTTTCCTTGTCTTCCTCCTGCTTGACCTTGGGGAAACTCTTTGCTGTATGTCCCAGCTTGCAATTCCACTGCTAGAACAACTGAGCTATAACAGAAGCATTTCTCTTGGCTTCTTTCTTTTTTCAAGATTGAATCATTTTGCTTTACCACTTTTGCTACTCCTGTCTCCTTAGAGTTTTGTACCTGGGCCTCTATCTGCAAAATCAATGTTGAAAATTTTAATGCACCATCTGTCTCTGTTTATATCCAGCAACATCCACACAGGGCTTGTACCAAAGAGTCCTCTAGTCTGAGTACACAAATAAGAAAAGACATAGCAAATTCTTGGGGTTTTTTAAAATGGTTTCAGCAGGGTTCTTCACAACTTACCTAATCATTGCAGTAGTGTAGTAGGTGTCTACAATTTTTCTTTCCCTACAGTTTCAACAGGCTTTGTGTCTTATTTCCACAAAAGATCATGCAATCAGCAAGTTCACTGTCAAATGTGCCCTTTTCTGCAGTGGCTTCAAGTTTAAGTGAGGCAGTGGTCTGCTTCCATGTTAGGGATATCATAGCACTAACTGATAGGCTATTCTTTTTGTGTTCATATACCATGCACATGACTTTCCACCCTGAAAAGCCATACCTAAATAAAAAAAACACCCCCAAATCCACAAAAACATTTACTTCCTTTCTCAGAGGTGAAACAGAAAGGGTATTTTTGCCACTTCAAAGCCAATCTCATCTCTTTTTTATGCCACTGCACTCATTGGTTTTATCAAGGAGAAATATGGTTCAGTCTTGGGAATGATTTTCCCTTTAAGTTTTATACTTATTCATATGTCTTGTTCTTCCAAAAGTGACTGTACCATGACATTCCAAGTTACTCTTCTACTGAAACTGTGTAGACTGTACCAAAGAAAGCACAATTCACAGAAGTGCCTCCACAGCACATTAAGAACTGCACAGCTCCCTAAGAGCAATTTAAAATGAAGAACAACCTTTCCCAACATCCTTTCAGAACTTCACATGGACATTAGCCAGATACAAGACTGAGCTGCAGAGGGTGCATTAAACTCCCCATCTGCTCTTCACAGTGCTCATCACTGATTTCTAACCCACAGTAAAGTCATTTGGCCAAAAAAATCATAGTGGATGAGACAAGTACACCAGAAGCCAGATGAGCCTTTCCTTCCACAGTGTCCACAGAAGGAAATGCGCCTGATCCAGCCAGTATTTTCTCACTATTTGATTCCAGAGCATGTGTTATCTGTAGGTAAGTCATGATCCAAATAAACTAGGGAAGCCAGATTTTATTGTTATTTACACTAGCTTATAGTCACTATCTCAGCTGGTCTTGGCACAACTATTAATTCACTGCCATGTACATGATATCAGAGTATCCCTGAGAAACCTTGAAAACTTGGAAGAGTTTTAGAAAGACGCCTGCAAGTTTCCACTTCCCAGGGAGCCGCTTTTCTAACCCACTCCCTCGCTGTGCCCAGCTCCCGGTTGTGCTGCCACTATCTGACCCTATGCAGACAGTTTGCCCCGAAGGAGCACGCGTTTCCCACGGGTCTCTCTGCCCTGTGGGATACGGACTTCACATAGTCTCTTTGGAAAAGGATCAGCCCCGGGGATGTATGCTGTGGGACAGCCGTGGGACGGTAAGAGCCAGGTGTTGGGGCGGGTTTGTGCGATGGCCGGTGACTTCCACCCTCCAACGCCAGTGAAGCGGAGGGGGGGTTCACCTCCCTTCCACGTGAGCGCACCGCCTCTCCCAGGCTCGCACACAGAGGGCGCGCTGGGCGGGCGGGACGACCCCCAGCCCCCAGCCCTTAGCCCCTGCCACAGCACAGACCGCCCGTACGGGGCGATGCGGCAGCGGCTGCTCTCCTGCTCCGCGGCCCCGCAGCAGTGAGAGGCTCCGGACGGGGGGCGGCGGGGCCGGGCGGGGGCCGGGCCGGGGGCGGTGCTGCCTCCGCGGCCGCGCGGGACAGACGGCAGCGGGAGCCGGGGCCGGAACCGGAGCCCGAGCCGGGCAGGAGGAGCCGCAGTGGGAGCCGGGCGTGGTGAGCGGAGAGCGGTGAGCGGAGCTGCCCCGGCCCCAGCGGGGTGGCCGCGGGCAGGAAGGTGCCGCGCTGCCGGTTGCGCCTGAGCCGGAGCATCCCGGCGGGGTCAGCCGCCTTCATTTTCCAAGGGAGGTGGGCACTCCGGGTTTGGGGTGCTTTTTTTCCCCCTGCCCTAGTACCCCGTGCGCGTTGTTCGTGCCCTCGGCCGGCAGAGCTGCCCGGCGGCCGGGCGCTGTTGCTCGCACGTCCCGCAGCGCCGGGGCTGCTCCTCCCGCTGTCCGGCACCGGCTGAGGCGGGTCCCGGCGGGTTTGGGAAGCCGCCGCGAGCTCAGGAGCAGCGCCCGCCGTGCCTCGCCGGTGCTGCTGCTCCGAGAGAACCTTCTCAGCGGTTTGCCTGTCCTGTGCCGTAACCAAGGGCATTTGATTTTCACAAACGTTTAACTGAGGTACGTGTTAGGCCTGTGTTTTGTAAAGAACCTGTTTTTAGCCTGACTTCGTGGTTTGTCAGAGTGCTTAAATTGAATGAACGCTTCTTCGGTTCGGAGAAATTGCTTCTGTTGGAGGCAGAAAGGGGAACGTTCTAGGAGACCGTGGAGACAGCATCGGGGTTGTGCTGGTTCTGGAAGGAGGGATGCGGAGAGAAGGGACGCACAGGCTGGTTTCCATCGCTGAAAGATACTGCAGACCAGGGGTGTGATAGTGCAGAGCATTGGGTCATCACTGTGCAAGCACATTCTTGGCTCTGTGGGCATAGATTGCCCATCATAGATTGCCATGCGTGTGCTCTTTCACATTGTTTGCAGGAAGATGGCGGGAAAAGAATTGCTCCCTCTGCAAATAAATTGTAACATGCCTATCTAACGTACTGAGAGAAGAGCTGAGCTTAGACAGCACAGCAGTAGAAAAAAGAAAACAGGATGGGTGCACAAACACTTTATGTCTAGCTAAAATCTGCAGGCTGTTACAACATCATTTTGGTAGAGGTAATAAAGTTTGGAACAGAACAAACTCTTCCTACGCTTGCAAATGTTAGACAGTTAGAGGAAAATTGTGAAAATAGTGGTAAAAGGCTGAGCATTTGCCATGTTGATTAACATTTATATAAGCAAAGACAGTTAGGAATGCATATTGACTATTATTAAATTTAATTCTTAATTAATTATAGTAGAATGGGAGAAAGGTGGAGACGTATAAAATCTGGACCCTACAGGATGTGTATCATGCTGGCAGTTTTATTCTGATAAGGGATCCAGATGGAGGGTTGATGTCTGTTTCCTTGTGATTTTGCTTTTTACAGTCATTTTGAACCCACTATGACTTTTCTGTGCCTGAACAGACCAAAACGAAAGGCAACCTGAAACCACCAGCTGCTTTCTCTCTATAATGCCTAGAAGGGCTTTTTCTCTTTAGAGATTGTTGCTGGTTGTAGCTGTATACTGGCTGCCTTTGTTCCCCACTTCTTTCTCAGACTTGGTCATTTATGTCACCCGAGGTGGAGGAAGGAAAGGCAGGCATCTCACCCCTGCCTCCCTCATGTTTCCCCAGCTCTCCTCTGCTCTGGTGAACAGGCTTGCCTGCCTGCTGACTGCTACTTGCTATATCTAGTAAGTGTGCTTTGCTGTCAAGAGGATAAATGCTGTAGGACCATGAACTGGTGGGGAAGGGGTCTTGGGCTGTTTCAGCATCGAAGTCTAATCTAGTACTATCACCGTGTAGATGACTGTATATATATGAAGTTATTGCCGTTTGCATTTTGTTAACCTATTCACATGTAAAAGGCTGAACTCAGGGTAGCTCGTGTCTGGCAAGTGTCTTTGTTCATAGTTGGGTCTTAGTGGTGCAGTGGAAATTATAAGTTTATTCTGTAAATTTCTCATCAGAGCCAGGAAGCAATGCAGTTTTTCCTCCTGGCACCCTATCTATGCAGAAGAAGAAGAGGAATTATCTTAACGACAGAGTGTATTCAGAAGTTGCTGAAAAATATGATGTTTCTGATAGGTTTGAGACTTGAAATTTTAAAAGTCCATTACTAAGAAGTCAATATATTGTCACCTCTACCTCCTGCACTCTTTTGCAAGCACTCCTCCCCCTGTGTCTTCATGACTCCGGTTACCTCCTTTTCCTGGCTTGCGCAGAGGAAATCCTGTTATGACATAGTCGATCCATGGCGCTGCTGCAAAACCCACCTCTTAGCCTGCCACTTCATCTGTATCTCCCTTCTTTGTCAGTCCTTCTGCTGCTCCCCCTTCTCCCCTGCATCAGACACGTCAGTCGCAGGCTTCACTTTCAGGTGTCCCCATACATGATGTACCACCTCTCCAGCTTTACGAAGACATACCTCCTGGGCTTTGATCAGCCTGTACTCTCAGCATCTTTCTCCCTCAAGCCATCGTCTTTTTGTTTCCCCAAGCTCCACCTTGCACTTACTTGTAGTTTCATGTAGGCACCTTGTCCATCATTTCTTTAATTTCCTTGAAATGTCCTGGCACATTCGTTTTTGCTTTGATGCCTTCAGCATCTGGTGAGATGCTTAAGACCAGCCTTCACTGCTGCTGCCACCATCCCTGTCACTGGAATTACTCTGGCTCTGAATTTGAGCCCAATGGTGTCCTCTAAAGCTAGGCCATCTGAGAGGCACTTCTTGAACAGATCACTCCATCTAGCACCAGCAGAAAGTCTCCTTTCATAGTCCATGTTATCCTTGCTTGCTCTTTTTTGGCATTTCAGGTGCAACCCTGCCCCCTTATGCTTACATAGCTCAGTGATTCAATGTGACTCCCTTTGCAATAGTGTTGTATCTTTGCCTAAGTTATTGCAGACTGTTTTGCAAACAGTGACTGTATGTAAATATAAGGCACACAAACATGGATAGGATAATGCCATGGTCTCTTTGTCAAGGGAGGGTGTGCATGCAGCCTGCACTGATAAAATAATGAATGTCGCAAGGATAGAGATCTTTGTTATATCAGTGAGGGGAAACAGAGAATCAAAGGAGAAGGTTGTTTTCTTACTTTTCTTGGTAAAGTATGCTGAGCCACTGGAGTCTGGAAGCAGAGTTACAGTGATAGTAACTGTGATAGCACATTTGTGCCTAAAATTCCCTTGCATTTAAGTTCACAGTATGTAATTGGTACTACAATCTGCCTTTTTTGGAGAGAAAAAAAATCTGAAGCAAAATGATGCATTAAGAGAGATTCCTTTTGAGCCAAGTGTTCAAAATTCTGTCCTAGCTTTATATTGTGTCAGGATTTCTAAGTTAAAATGAAATCTGCTTGACATTTTTGAGTTTGATATGTACTGTATCCTTTGTTTTTATAAAATACTTTGAAGCCAGTATGTCAGCTGAATTTTACAATAGGAGAGTGTTTTCTTATTAATCAGGACTCTGCTTACTGGGTCACAGCTTCGTTAGTTAAGAACTAATAATCCCATTGACTAGCAAAGGTAAAGGCCACTTATTGTTCAGCAGAGCCCCTTGCTGAAGTCTGCACAGAGGTCTCCCGAGATGAGAGTGGATGTGCCCACATGGAGTGAGAGATGCAGGCTCTCAGGTACACTCGTGTGTGCAGCCACCTCATCTGGCACTGGGCAGGTTGCTGTGCTGCAGCCCTGAAAGAGACAATAGAGATCTCAAATCCATTCAATTCCAGATTCAGCCACATTTTGTCCTAAAACTGTATTCCTTGTACATGAAGGGGACTATGCCAATATTTCTGAGGAGTTTTCCCCCCCTTTACCTGGAGGAATGCTGAACCTGAGGGTCTGAGCTCTGCAAGTTGTTAGCCTCACATGTGAGCTTGATGGAAAATGAAAGCAAGCTCTGATAACAAGGACTGCTTGCCCTGGGGCTTGATGTTTTATCTGGTAGGTTTTGCTCTGAGTAAACAATGTGGAGGAGCTGAAGCACTGCCCTATGAGAAGTCTGTGTGGCTTCAGGAAGGGCAAACACAGTGCACAGCCCTCCTCTGCACAGGCCATTTGGCCCGAGTTGTGGAGCCCAGCTTGTGGAGCCCAGCGCCAGTCTGTGTCAAATTTAAAAGGTGGTTATCAGCAGCCCATGTTAAGAGTCAGGCATGAGGTAGAAAAGTTTAATTACTTTTTGTTTGTTCTGAGACTAATTACATCACCACTCCTCTCCCCTATCCCCCTCCATCCCCCCACCCCTAGGCTGGATGGCACCTTCTCCTGAAAGGCTTATCAGTGTCAGTGGGATGTTCCACACAGCCACTTGTGGCTTTGGCAAGGAGGGGTAGCAGGAATGGGATGACTCAACCATGAAAGGAGACAAACAAGGCAGGAATAGTTGAAATATTTTCATATACTTGTTCCACTAAGGAAAATGGATTTTAGCAGAATTTTCATTTCTCATTAAGCAGCCATTCCACACTACGCTAAATCTTCTATTCAAACAAAACTTCCAAATCTAGGGTTGCAAGAAATCAAACAAGAAGTCATTACACAAAATGCAGAAGTTAAGGATTCCCAATACCCACTGGTTTCTCCCTCTTCCTTGTCTAGCCTTGCTTTGTACCTCTTTTCCAGCTGGGCACCTGGGGTCTTTTACTTTGACAGTAACAACTAAGCAGCTGTGTTTGTCTGTAGAAGTCAATTACCAAGATTTAAAGCTATTAGGGGGAACCAAATGGCTCTGTGATCCTTCATGTCCCCTCTATCTGATCACCCACTATCATTAAACTTCAGAAACTCAAAGGCTTTTGAGGTTTCTGCTTGGGTTGAATTTGACTGAGTGTCAATAACAAAAATTATTTAGAGTGGCAATGAAGGGAATAAAGCTGGGACTGGACACCAGGAAATCTGACCCATCACTGTTGTCAGCGAAGAGTTTTGGGTGTTTTTTTTCAGCAACCTGTAATTTTCAGTAACCAGAAATTTTAAGCACAAGAAGGAGACTAATTTCCCTGGTGACTGTATGTCCTTTGGGGTGAGATTCAAATTGACACTCCCATTGGAGGCAGGACCAGAAGGACCCCATTTCCCTGTCTGAGGTCCTAGATGTACAACAGTGAGACTCCTTACTCCATTCACATCCTGAGAGATACAGGAAAAAGAAAGGTCTCTGCTTCTCACATATCTTGATGTCAGTGAGAATGAATACATTGTTTGGGCCAAATCCTTCTGTGGTCTAGTGCTGCAGCTGAGACAGTGAAAACAGCTGTGAAGGGGATATGAGTGGTGCAAGAAGGATGAAGGACTGTGGGATACAACTGTGTATGCCCAGGGGTCTTCTGAAGATAAGCTTCTTGATGTTCTGGTCCAAATATTTCTCTTTTTTTCAAAAGTAATCAAACTGGTTCAGATATTTATTCTTCAAAGGTAATCAAAAGCTCAGACCTCCCCATCTCACTGTATACACTTGCCATTTGAATAAGATCCCTGCATTTAAGGAGCCTTGAGGATGCCTTGTGTTTTGCACTACAACTCTGGCTTATTTAATCAGCTCAAGACTTGGTGGGCTCCGTTTCCTTCGCCTCACCAGCTATTGGGGTGAATGAAGGACTAAATGGGCAAAAGCAGTGCTCTGTGTATCTGGGAATAGAGAGCCAAGAGAAAGATGGAAAAGAAGCAAAATCATTTATACTTGTCTTGGTTGAAGATACAGTCCCTGTTGCAGAGATTCACACCTCTTTCCCCCAAGAGAACTGTTCTGAAAGAAGTAAAGGGAAGGGAAGGGAAAGGGTGCCTGCTGTGCGCAGAAAAAACTGAGGGACACAGTATAGAGCTCTTTGTTACATGAGGCATATTTGCTGCAGAAAAGGTATACGGGGGCTCTTGTACCTGCTCTCCATCCTAGTACCACCACCTGCTTCAGCCTACCTGCTTCTGGACAAAGTGGCATGGTGCATGCCCTCACATCCAGAGGATGTCCTGGGTCCATCCTCAGGGAAGCTGACATTGATGTTCATCTGCAGACTCCTACCTCTCCTTCTGCGTAGCGAGATGGTCAGGAAGCTGTCTGACTTCTTTGGGTAGAACATTACTATAGTCAAGTTATCAAAACATTTGGATTTCAACAATACTGACTTTTAACAGCTGCATTAGATAATTTTCTTTATTGAACTTGGAGAGGTTTAAACCATAAGTGATTCAGTGATTGAAGGGATGAAAGCAACACAACAACGTGTTAACATCCATCCCCAGAGATCTGCTTCTCTAAAGCAGTTGAACCGAATGTGCTGAAAAGGTAGAGCTCTGAGAGGTACGATGATTGTGAAAGTGTCTTTTCTCTCCCAGAGGGGAGGATCATTTTGAAGGTAGCCCTACTTTTGCTTTAATCTGCAAAATTCTGGGATTGTTTCTTCATATACAAGATATTTAATTTACTTTATTAAAAACAGTTCAGGGGCTACATTTTAATTCTAGATATTGAATGCATGTAGCACACACAATTCTTCTAATTATCCCTGTGCAAATACAGCATTCAGTTTGGGTATTTCAGGTATGTGAACTTAAACTGCAGATAGTCTGAAATAAAGAGAATAAATAAATAATAGTGTGTAATCTGACAGGGCTGATTCTTGGCAGAAATTTTTAGAGGTAATGCAAAATGAATTGGAGTGCAGATACAGTGCTTCATTGCTTAGAAAGGTGCCACGGGACAGATGTCTGTCTTGGTCCTGGAGCACATTGCAAAAGAAGAGGAGAAAGGTGTTATCAAAGAATGGCTGTAAAGCAGAGTTCAGGATCATGGTTTTTATATTGCACATGCAGTGCTGTAACTGGACAGCAGAAGGATGTCGCTAGCAGGAATAAAACACAAGCCAGCATTCCAGTTGGTTTGGTTTTTTTCTGAAATTTCTGGCACTAAGAGTAGTCAAAATTGAGCACTTTTCCTCCTTGTTTTTTATTACTATTGTAGTTATTACTAAACTTTGATTACTAAAGCTTTTATTTGCTTTTTTATAGGTGCTTTTCTCACCATGCAGTCCCTTTAGATTTGGGCGTGATAACCAACCTGCACATTGGACATTTGGCTTGTATCCCCGTATCTTCTTCCTGCTTGTAAGTATTTTATTCTTTCTCCTTGCTTGTTTTTCTGTTAAAGACCAGATTCAATTGACAGGTTCTGGGTCTGATCTGAGGTCATGATGTCTTTGCTTTACATTAATATAAATTACTCTATAGACTGCAGATCCATGGGAAATGTGAATTATTGAATCATTTGAGCCTATCTGAATTAATCTAAGTATCCTTATGGCTCTGAAAGTTTCCTTTTCCCATCCCCACACGAAACCCCAAACAAAATATAACTTGATTTTAACCCGCAGCCAAGCCATCTGGGCACTTGTCCTCTTGTCCTCTTAGATTTTCAAAGACATAAATTTAAATCATATTAAATCATAATAAAAAAATGAAATTAGATCATAAATTAAAAGGAAAACTTTGCTTGTGGCAGGAAATAGTTTTTTTCTTTTCCTGCTGTACTCTGTTTTATTGAGTCAGTTGCCCACTGATCCTGTTTGCCAGGCAGAGTGATAAAGGGATTTTCTGCTCCTGAAGGGTCCAACTATAATGGGAAAAAGAAGCATCCTAATTACTTCAGGTCTTTTAATTGCCAAAGGCATTTATGCAAGAATAAGAAGTATTAAGGATCATAGTCTTGGTAAACTCCAAGTGAGCACTCATTCTTTTCCTTTCCTACCTACATTTTCAATGGAATAAGATGTTACTTACTTCTTTTTTCTGTCTAGAGCTACCATCTTATTTAGTTGCATGATTTTAAATTGCTATATTTTTCCAGTCTAGAGCAAATTGCTTTTCAAGGCTGAAGTGTTCACAGTACTTAAAGTTCATTCAGCCCTTCAATATGAGCGTGCAAACATATCTTTATTGGCATTAAATACTTTGTGTTACAAGTTAGCTGGAAAGACAATATTGGTAATATAGTCCTATGTGCTAAAGGAAATAAATGTAGAAAACAAAGGCAGTGAGGGGGAAGATGAAACCAGAAGCTCACTGGCCTTCATACATGTATTGATCTAGTGAACTCTTGCTGCCAGCTTTTGGAAGCAATCACTATGATAACAGAACCTGGGGGAGGGCGACACACCTTTAGGGATGAGGAGGTCTCATCCTGTATCTGGCATCATCATATCAACTGGGAACCTCCTGCTCTTCCTGCCCTGATGCTGAACAAAGGAGAGGTGGTTCTGGTTTCAGCTCATGAGAGAATGATATCATTATCTGCTCACTCCTGGCATTAACTTTACAAAAGGGCAAAATGGAGCAGAGAACACACTTAAGAGTTCTTTAATAGTGTCACTTTAATGAATGTCCTCTACCTCCCCTCTCCTACCCAAAACAAAGAGCTATTTGCCTAATACAGAGGAAGCAATTTTTGCACAGGCCCAGAGTACCATCTTGCAACTCATCTCCCTTTCCTAGCCATTTTCTAGCCAGATTTCCAGTGCCATCTAGGATCTGCTAACCACCAGATCCTCCCCATCATGGGCATGGTCCCAAGTCATCCATAGTGGATGCATTATTCCACTAGTGTGATGTGCTGCTTTGACCTTTATCTCCATGTCATCTGAGACACACATGTGCTAGCATGGGAATTAGATTCACGGGATGGCGGTGTGTACAAAATAATGAAGCTTGGTGGTCAGAGGCTCCCTTTGCAAAGATCCAGAGACATCTGATGGGGGCAAGCTTCTTCAGCTGTCCTGCATGGGTCAGTGAGGGACTCCCTGTCCCGCTTCACAGAGCCCTCTCTTTTGAAGATTAAATCTATCCCTTTTGTTGCACTCATCTTCTGCCTTTCTGTGTACATTGGGCTGAAATCAGCCAAGAGGATTTTAAATTTTCATGGAAGGAAGGCAGGTACAATTAACAGCATATTGAAGTTAAGCCGAATGAGGGACCTCACTCTTGTAACTATGCTAAAGGCAAATTAAGCTCTCATCTGTTAGAAGTTGTTTACAATAAGGGCTTTCTAGAATACCTTCTACCTGTAAAGAAAGAGTTCATGGGAGAGTGTGACAAAAATGTTAGTTTATTTTGCATAAAAATGCTGGTTTTCTTTGATGTCAGTCTGTCTCTCTGCTTAAACATTTTGAAGCCTCTGAAACAGCCTAGGTATTTCTCAGCTTGTAGTCACAAAAATACAGGAAGAACCAAGAAAACAAAGTCCTTTTCTATGGCCGATAAACTCCCAAGAAATTCAATCTACCAGACTTATTTTTGCTTCCTGTTCCTCAGTTTTTAGCGTTTCAGTGGTAGTGAGTATGCTCCATTAAATAATATTTCACTGAGCCTGGAGAAATAGAGTTGTTCCATCAGGGTATGTGGAGGCATGCAATACAGATGGCTGGATGGTAAAGCATTTATGACATTGGGACTGTGAAAAAGTTCAGTTTGCTGCATGCCATCCTGGGTAGTGTTGCAGTCTCATTTAACATTCACGTTAGTTTGAACAGGGAGATGACTACTGTCTCAGCGATCCTAAAGATTAAATTACATATGTTACCTATAATTTGGTACTCATGGCATATGCTAATTGTGAGACCTCTGCTCCTGATCACATTTGCATTGTCTGACAAAATAGTTTTTATGACCAGTACTGTCAAATATGCAAACAGTGGATAGCTCCGGCATGGCTACCCAGGCATGGTACTGCACGGTATCTGGGACTGACCTTTTACATAGTGATGCCTTGCTTGATCCCTCACCTATCCAGTTTGCCCTCCTTCTATTGAATGCCTCTTTGCCTATCTCCCACTTACCACAGGATAAAAGAAAATATTAACAACTCCAACTGAGCCTGCCTATAGTATCTGCCAGGTAGGCCTACCCTTGGGATATGAGTGGTAGTTCTCACCTGTGGAAAGTGATTTATACCAAGGACATGAATGGAGAAACAATGCACACATTGAAGAAAATACTTAAATAGTGGTTTGGTTGAAAAGCCAGGATGTACAAATGACACCATGTGTCTAGGAGAGCCTCTCCTTGTGTGCCAACCCTCATATTTGGGGACTAAAGTAACAGAACAAGGTTTTGCTCTCTTGTACATCTAAAACCAGCAGAGCATGGAGGTAGAGTCTGCCTTCTTGGAACACTGAGTTCTTTTACTGAAATGTGTGAATCTTCTAAGCAGTTTGTCCATCGGAGCAGCAAGGCTGCTGTAACAATGGAGTAATAGCAACAGGAAAAATTAGCCAGTGTCAGAAAGGCACTTGGGCCTTTCGGCAGTGGGGCAGAACTCAATGACTCAGGAAGACTCCTCAAGTCACAGAACCCTACCCTGGCACTGCAGAAGTGCCTCTGAGAAAGTAATCCAGATCCAGCTACACCACAAAATCTGAGTCCCCCAGCAGGCAGGTTCCAGTTCTCCTGTCCCAGGAGTTTTCAGGAGTTAGCTGGAAAGCCTTCTCCTGTCAAATAGAGTTAAAATTCTTCTCCATCTGCAGTCATTCAGGAACAACACTTTCAGTTAATTCTTTGCCTTAAACCAACTCAGCTTTCCAACAATAGATGAAGAGAAGGCAGGGACCACTACAGAATTTGAAAACTTTGGCTCCTTTGTTAAATTCCTTGATTAGTTTATGGCTCTCACAAAGACAATGGGTTTATTGCAGTTAGGTATTTTTGCCACGCTTTGAAGTCAGTGACAAAATTCCCAGTCATTTTTTTGGGACTAGGTTTGGGCTAGATGTTATGGTGTTGTTCTATTTCACTTTCAGAAGTGCAAAAAAACCAATTACCAAACAGGAAGGTGAAGCTGACATCTGGCTTTATGGGGATTATTCCTTTGGGAGAATTGGGGTAAGAGAGACAAATGGTTCATGCCATTTACCGTCTTCTCCCAGCAGAAGTAGAAACCTCAGCCGAAGTGGTAGATGTGGTGCACTGAATAAAACTAGGCTCTTAAAGGCTGTGAGGTCTAATTTGCAGCATGGCAGAGGTTTGTGCAGCCCTAGAACCATGGAGTTGCATGAGGTTCAGAATGTGTTTGTTCAGGTGTTTGCAACCCTGCCACACATCGCTGGCTGAGCCATCCTGGCTGCTCTCTGGCAGGATCACCGTGCTGGAACAGCACCAGGAATCATCATCATGGAGCAGGATCAGATCTGTTTTATTTCTTATGCATTTTGTACCTTTCCTATGAAAACTACTGAATTGTCAGGACCAGATATGTTCACAATCTGTATGATTCTGCCATTTTACTCCAATAGGGTGCAGATGGTTGGTAAAAATCCTTTTAGACTGAGTAGGACCTTAGACTTTAGGCCCATATTTTTAACTCTGTGTTTAAAACAACGCAGATTTTTTTTCTTCTTCCTAAAATACTATCCACTTTAGCCGAAGCTACATTTACACATTGCGTCACTACACAGTGTTAGTGAGACAACTGGAATCTAGGCCATAGTCATTTGGAATCAGAATTTTTACAGTGTCTCTGACCTCATTACAAAATGCTCAGTTAAAAGTAGCCTGGGTGATGGTGTAAGACCTATAAAAGCTCTGATTTATCAAAGCACTCACATCTCTGCTTAACTGAGGTTCAGATTAGTCCAGTTTAAGACCATAGGTTTTTCACTAACTTCAAAAAAAGTACCATGCCAAAGTTCTTCCTTGTAGCAGGGCCAAAAGTGTTAATGATAAAATTAGAATATAGTAGGTTTAAAATTTGTGAAAAATTTAAAGACTTTTAACTTCTGCCATGTTAAAGAATTCATGTGAATTAATTCCTTAAGTTATTATAGAGCAATTCAATTAATAATGGATCTGCTTTTCATTATGACGAGTAATTAAGGATAAATATCTCCTATATCAAAGCTTATTTTTTAAAAAGGATAAATTAGCTATAACACAACTACTTCCAGAACATGAAATGAACACATATTGTTCCATTAGTTAATTTTGGATCACTAAATTAAAGACAGTTCAAAAGGAGTATAATCTCATAAGGAGCTCTCTTTGTTCAGTCTGTTATGAGTTATTTCACGAGGTACAACAAATACTGTTTCCTGTGGAGCTTAATACTATTAAGGTTATAAAATTGTTTTGGTTTAGTATATTTTATGCATCAGTATGAGTTATATACCACAAGGGTAAGAATATTTTTTTCTGGTATATATAGGTGCAGTTCTGTACTCCTGCATGTCTTGTAGGCTATTGGGATGCTTGGTTAAGGCTATCAAAAGCTCCACTATAAAACAATGAAAGCAATAAACAATAAAATAACATCTGGAATGTAACCTTTTGTCCATAAAAGCATTATGGATGTGTGTGTACTAGTAAATTAATCCAGGCCAGGACATAGGCTCCTGTTGAATTAGTAAACTGACCTCCTGGCATGGTTTTGGCCAGCTAGCACCCTTCAAGCAATGCCTGGACATATTTGGGGTTAGGAGTGGCTATCTTTCATTCCCAAAGGCAGCTGTGATCTGGCCATCCTGTCCATGCAGATAAAAGGGAGTTTAGCCATCTTGGCTAAAAAGGTACAATTAAATTCTACTTACCACCTAATGTAGTACTTGTTTACTCAGGCTCTTAGGGCTTTTAATGGCATATAGCATAACCTAAATTTAATTTACAGTGCCAAAGTACAGTAGGTAACTATGCAAATAACTTCAGTGTCTGGAAAGCAAACTTCTAGGAATTTTAAATACCTTATACTTTTAAAGCATCCTTAGTTCAGGTTGGGGCTTTTGTGGTCACACCTAATTTCAAAAAGTGTCAGCCTCTTGAAGAAAGAGGTACTTGAAGAAAGTTAGAAAAAGTTGCACATTTAAAGGAAAAATTATAAGGCAGGTCGTTGCTGGGAACAGTAATGGGACACTCCCATGGAAACCCAGATAGATACTTGGGCGGTTGTGTGACACAGAGAAGGAGAGACTCCAGGCTGTCACATCATCACTTCAAGGTCTGATTCTGTCTCTCTGACTGATGCTGATGTTGTTTGTGCTCTCTGTCACTATGAAAATCAGTGGAATTTTCCTCAAAGCTTCTAAATGTGAGTCAGAGATAATTGTATTGAACTGTGACCACAGGACATGGCTGAAACCATGGTCAGGATGAGAGGAATCACACTGGGAAGGTAGTTCTGTCTAGATATTGTTTTCCTTATCGGAGGAAAGCTTGCTGACTTTCCTTGTGGTGCCTGGGTATCTACAGTGAGAGGCTGACCATGAATGGATGGATGGCAAGATTGCATGTGGGTGATTATATGCAGAGAATGATCTTAATTTCTTACCTTGTATGCAACTTGCATTATCTCTTTTGTACCAAAACAAAAACAAGGGTTATGCCATGTAATTCAGCTACAGCATGTCAGCTTTTTACAAGCAATTCCTCATCACCAAGTCTTCTCTTATGCTTCCAGCCTGCACCAGGGGACTGACTATGTTCGTTTAAAGGAAAGCATCCTAGCATTCCCTGATCTGCTTATCTTGTGCTACTCTGACCTTTACCAGCACTGGAGCTTCCAGGTTCTGACAAATGGCTGGAGGCAAAGCTTTTTCAAAGGTGGGATCTCTTCCCAGTTAGTGTTTGCTGCCCTTAGATAGTCACCTCATGCTTGCTCAGCTGACAGGGCTGCCCATTCCCTTAGGATTTTGACTGTAGGTGTCAGAAGCTGCATCACTTCACTGAAACCTGCCTGCCATTGAAATCTGCCATGGCAGAATTACAGCAAGATGCATTTTGATACTTGAAACCATTCAAACCATTTTAAAAATACATAGTAAGAAAGCAAGTCTGGCAGATTTTCTCATTCTGGGTACCTCTAGCAAGACACTATGGAGTAAGTGGCTAATGGATTCATCATCCATTGTGATGTTGGGTGGCCTTGCTCATCTAGATTGAGGAGCTGAAGTCTTGAGAAGGAGTTTCATTCCTTGACTAGATTTTTTCCACTAGATGAATTTGGATTCCAATATCTCTGTCCCATATAAAGCACATTTTTGATTGTCCCTTTCAGTTAAACAACTCATGGTGGAGAAGTCAACTTTAATTCATTAGGATTCAGTAGGATTTCTCCTAATCCCTGCATTTTGGAAAATTGAGATATGCAGATAGTTCCTAGCTAATTTTTTAAGAATTGCAGCTTTGTGCTAAGGAATAATAACTTTTAACTCTTAAGAGCTAAATTGTATCAGGTGCACATTATCTGCTAGTATATTAATCTTGCCTCTTTTTTTTCTTGCAGTTCCAAAGGATATGATCTTAAATTGTCCTGGCTTGAGCAGTAAAGGATAAATTTGTTCACTGTCTGACTCGTCATCTCACCGTTGTGATGGAAAAATGCTCGCTTAATATAAACCCTTTTTATTTTACTAAAACCTTTGAATACAAGATCTGTTGTGATTTTTAAAACTCAAATCCAGTAATGTCAGAACCTGACCCTTCATCTGGATTTGTAGGAAACATGGAAAATGGGACTTTTCTGGAGCTGTATCCCACATCTCTTTCAACTTCAGTGGATTCATCACCTGGCCGTTTATCCAATGTTTATGTCTATGTTTCTATATTCCTTAGCCTCTTAGCTTTTCTCCTTTTGCTGTTGATCATTGCACTGCAGAGGCTGAAAAACATAATTTCTTCCAGTTCCTCCTACCCAGAATACAATAGTGATGCTGGAAGTTCATTCACTAATTTAGAGGTTTGTAGTATTTCTTCCCAGCGCTCTGCTCTCTCAAACCTTTCTTCATGAAACTAAATGAAAGGTAATACATGGGGAATGGGAGAGCTCTGTCTAGTTTCTTGGGGAGGTAATGCATGCAACATTCGCCTTAGAAGACTGTTATGAAGAGGAGGTTTTTTAAGTTTCCTTATTTTTTCCCCTTTCCTTTTCTAGTCTTCATTTCTTCTTTAACTAATTTTCATTTTGGACAATGGATAATGATACTTGATCATCATTTCTTGCCTGTAATAGTGATGCTGTCTCTTTCTCACACATATATGGTATTCATTAAGAGCATTCCTGCCAAATTGTAATACAGTTTTAACTTGATGTGTCAGTTTTCTGCCCTAGTTGTGACCCCTTCCTTGGTTTTGTGTCAGTAATATACTGACTAATTTTCTTTCTCATGTTTTAATTATATAAGGACTTCTGAATGAAATCCCTATTGCAAAAGTATAAAAAAAATCTGCTTAAATTATAAATATTATGAAAAATTGAAGCTGTTGGTATTGTTTCTTTTTTTTTTTAATTTTCATGTCTTTTTTTGGTATTTATTGATGTTTATAAAACACAACTAAAATCCATTTCTTGAAGAATATTGCCTGTGTTTATTTGTACTCCCAACTTGTTCTGTATAAAGTCTGTATTTCAGTTTTTGAGTCTCTGGTTAACTTAGTAAAGTGACTTTAATAACAATACTCAGTATCGAATGTGTGGAGGTATTTTTAGACCCTGTTGCAGCTCATTTGCTTAATGACTTGTTCCTCCAGGGGGCAGCTTTTGCTGCTGAATCATAAATACCACTCAACTCCTTTGCATTCTTCACTAATACTGTAGCTTATTCTTACTGGATACCGGGACAAACTAGTGATTTCTTTTAAAAGACCTGCAATCAACAAATGTAGTTTTCAAGGGAATAGCTCCTAAACTGTCCTTTAGGCACAAGATATTTGTACTCATGTGAGCAGGGCTAGCAGGGACAGAAATTACTTGTACTGGTGAAGACTTTCTGGGCCAGGTTTTGTCCTGTGATTTCACAAATGCACACTGGGGTGGAGCGAGGACTTGAGGATCTGTGTTATGGCCAGGCAGACCTGTGCCCTGACCGTCAGAGCTGTACCTGCAGAGAGCAGGAAGGGATGGGCAGGAAAATGGCAGTGGCCTTGCCTGTTTTCTCCGTCAGCATAAGGAAAGGCCAGAGATGAGAGGGAGAGAAATGGATGATGTTTCATCAGTCTCATTCCTTTTTGCCATGTCATAGTTTCGGTTATGATTCCCCCAGCCCAAAATGTAACACTTCACTCAATTTCTGCAGTAAAATAACTAGAAGCTTTGTTAACAGGATCCTTTGGTCAGCTGGGCTTTAAATCAAGCCAGACATTCAAAGTAGTGATTTGGAATGCCAAGTGTGACTTGCTAGGACTGCAGCCACATACTGCAGTGTGATGCCTTGTTTTTCTTACTGCACTGTGTGAGCACAGCCCCATCCTGCCACTCAAGCCCATGCAACTTTTGCTCTCATGGCAGGATCCAAGCTACTGCAGAGACCCAAGAAAGGGTACAGCGATGTCACTGCTGTTTCTGTTGCTGGCATAACAGCAGGCACAGCTCTGGGAGATGGATTGGTCTCAACAGGAACACAGGGCAGCTGCCCTCTCCTTGCATGGCAAGCCTACTACCCAGCAGGCTTAGGGGTTACGGAGCTGCAGAAGACCTCCCAACCAGATTTATGCCTCCTGCAAACCTGTCATTGTGCTCGTCAACAAGACAGACTGTCATTAACTACACAGGCTTTAAAAGAGAAATTTGGAAAGCCCAGTGTAAATATAATCATTAGAAATGCAGCTTCTCAGCCAAACAACACAGATGATTCTGGAGTCGGTGTTTTCAATTTTTAAAAGTGAGTATAGAGTATGGTAAGTGATAATGACTTACTGTGGTGATTAGCTCCTTACAAAGTCAAAGAACTTGCTGACTAATAAAGAATTTAAGCCTTCAGGTTCCCTGAGCCAAACTGGTTTGATGAATATATTTATTGCTTGGAATATTTTATACATCTAGACAAAAATTTCTTGTATGTCACTTTTCACTGTAATTGCTGTGAGAAAAGAGGTAACTATTTAAGAGGGATCAGGAAATATTATTTCCTTTCTGAAAGCTCTTCCAAATCCTAAACCTGTAACAGAATGTATTTGTGTGTTGACTGGCAGATAAAAATAAATGAACTGTAAATCAAGGGAGGGCAACTGTTCAACTATCTTCTCTTACTGGCAAAGTTGTAAATTTGTTGCTTCCTCTGCTGCAAATGCAGAAATTTAATCAAAACCAGAGATGAGACCAGAGGTTGAGATGGGTATTTGTTCCCAGCAATATGTTTATACTTGCAGATATGGAGACATTTAATATTAAAATACAGACTGTTAAAACCCCATTGGCTTTGTTCAATTGGCTGTTGTCAAACTTCACAAGAACAAAAAGTTCTTTTCAGACTGCAAGAAGTAGCAACAATAACTGAAACCACACATTTGATTTTGCTTTGTAGTTTACTAGACGCTATTAATTTTTTCCCACTCTGCAGTGACATATGGGATTGTATAGTCGTCCTGATTTCAGCTGAGTTGCACCTGTTCTCTTCAGGACAGATCTGAGTAGAAACAAGTAGGATCCAACAAAATAGCATCAGGAGAAGCCACAGGAGAAAAGCACCATGGCATTTTTGAGGATTGCTAAGTACCAGTTCATCAAGAAAAAAAAAAGAGAAAAGAAAAAACAAACCAATCTGACAACCTGAGCCTGAGCTAACTTGACAACACTAGAACAGGATTCCTAGAGAGGTGGTTGATACCCCAAGCCTGTCAGTGTTTAAGAGGCACTTAGACAATGCCCTTAACATGCTCTAACTTTTGGTAAACCCTGGAGTTGGATTAGATGGTCACTGTAGGTCCCTTCCAACGGAAAATATTCTATTCTATTCTATTAACTAGAGTTGCAGGAATTTTTTTTCCTGTGTCCATTCCTGGGTTCCCCAGTAGAAGAGAGAGGTGGAGATACTGCAGTGAGTCCAGTGCTTGGCTACTAAGATGATTAATGGATGGTGCATCTATCATGTGAGGAGAGGCTGAGAGACCTGGGACTGTTTAGTCTAGAGAAGGCTCAGAAGGATCTCATCAATATGTATAAATACCTCATGAGAAAGAGGAAGAAGAGGGAGCCAGGGTCTTCCTGGTGATGCCCAATGACAGGACAAGAGTCAATGGGCCCAAACTGAAACATGGGAAATTCCACCTGATCACAAGAAAATATTTTACTATGAGGGTAGTCAAACACTGGCACAGGCTGCCCAGAAGGGCTGTGGCATCTGCATGTGTTGGCCTCCCTGCAGCTGATCCTGTGGATCACATCAGGGCAAAAACTCAGCGGCTTCTGGCTTGCTGCTTCCTCCTGATATGTTTTCTCATCCCTGGAGCTTAGTAAGCAATATCTTTACTAGGAGGTGATTTGTTCAATAATTTGTTGCTAAAGAGTTGCTCTGCCTCCCCTTCTGCCTGCAGCCATACATTTTTCCAGCTTTTCCACTGCCTTTTTGTGGTGTGGGTTTCTTTTACAATTTTGACATTTAACAGTCATCTCTTGCCCTGAGCCCTTTTAGTTTTTACTAAGCCCTCTGACTCCCAACAGTGCCATTAGCTTTGGTAATATATGACTCCAAGACTGCATGACATCAGGTAGTTGCAAAGTATACTTGGAAATCTATAGGAAGAAAAATATGAATAAAGCATGGATGAGGAAAGTTCAACAAATATGGTCCATTTAAGCATATTTAATCAAAGAGTACATGGTGAAGGCTGTAGTAGGCTTTATATGTAAGACTCTTGCACTGCTGGCCACCTTGGCCCTACTTGTCAAACTAACCCATCATATTCGTCTGTCCTCAACATTACCAAATTATTCCCATCCTGAAATGTCATGTTCTTAGTACCACTTAGCAACTCTTCATCTGCTGAGAGTTTATTCTACTGGAATTATTTTCAGCATTCAGCCCTTCTCTGTCTGCCAGCTCACCTGAAAGGTTTCTCTCTGTAAGCTGAAAGTCTTGTCTGGATTTCCTATAAATATCTTTTAACTTGGGAACAATTCTTATTCCACTCTGTGCAACTTGTTTGCCCTGCTCTCACTGTCTAACCCCATGGTACTCTGGCAAGGCTGAATCCCCATGGAGCATCATGCTCTGCTGTACTTGAGCCTTTTTCCTTCAGAGTCCCTTTTTTTTTTTTTTTTTGTGAGACCACTGGGAATGACATCTGTGTGGGAAGGTTATTTATGAGGTCCGTATACCTTCCATTTTTCTTGATAGGACTGTTTTCACTGCATCTGTTATGCTTGTCTAAGGAAACATAGTGAATCACAGCTCAGCTGCTTCCCCAGCTGAATGACCTTTTCACATCCACTGCCCTTTGTAGGCTCCCGAAGAAAACGGCCCCACTCTGTGGCTACAGTGGAGGATTACATGCCCCAAATGCAGGGTGCAAAAGCAGCTTGAAAACACCCTTTTTTTTTCTTCAAGAAAAGTGGGCTTGCTCTTGCCTATGTCTTTGGCATAACCTAGAGCAGCCCTCAAGTTGCTTTACACTAAATGATCTATGTGATGCCAGTCAGTTTGACGTGCCAATGGGACCCACCTGCAGCCACAGCCCCACGCTCACACCACAGCTCCACAAAGCTCCTAGATCACTCAGCTGTAAACGAGGGGCTAAAACCAGCCAAGATGCTGCCCCAGTCTGGGGTTTGGCCAGGGGCACTTTTCTGATGACAGCTGTTGCCATAGCTCCTCCTAGCACTGTGCTTTGGAGGTAAAAGCAACATCAGCCTCCTGTGTATTCACTTCCAAGACCAGGTAGGTGCATTACTGTAATCATGGTAATCACCATGCAGGTGACAATGAGGCAGGACCAGGATGATGAGCTATTTTTCACTTCTGTTTTCTTTGTTTTATATCAATGGGAGCTGATTATCCACTGTAAGTCTGAAAATCACAGTAGGTTGCTATCAACATGTATAGGATCTCCGGTTGCCTTCAGGAAATTGGACTGGTTTCAGTTCACCTTCTGTTCCTTATGGAAAGCACCAACACAATGGCTGCATTTGTTTCAGTGCCAAAAGATGCAGTTTTAATACAACAGACATCTGTAAGCAGCTTCATTTAAAAGTTCAGAAGGAAAAAAGTATACTTCCTTAAGTATAATCTAATGTATAATTTTTACAAAAAAAACTTGGAAACTTTTCTTTGGAAAATTACATTTTTGCCAAAATATTTATTTTTAAAGAATAATAGAAAAACTACTTGGCTGAGTTGTTAAAAATGGAACATTTTATTCCAGCTGTGCTAACATAAATATTTTTTCCCACAGATTTTTCACTGTTTAAGGTGACATAAAATTATTCTATCCAATTATTTCTCTGCCTTATCCTCAATAAACAAGTAAGTGTCTGCCATAAATAATTTGCATGGCTTTATCTTGAGCCTGGGCTCAGCAGTTGCTGACAAGTAAGAAATAAGTGCAAAGGACATGTTTTTGTTGGAGATTCCCCATGTGGTTTGTTCAGGGCAAATCCTGCTCCAGCTCCCTGGATGCTGTTCTAGCACTGGGAGCTATGTGCCAGGGGCTTTCTGCAAAGGTATCCCCCATTTTTCCAAACAGCTGTATCAGAATGCAGAAGATGAAACTTATTAAACTAGGACAAGCTGCAAACACCTGCCAGGAAAAAGGAATGATGATACAAAGGCACGCAGCAAGAACAGAAGCATGGCAGGGAGTGAAAGGAGATGCCATCTGAAAAGTATGCAAATGAATGTGTCTGAGGCAGGAGTAAAGTGAAAAAGGACCACTGGTGGCTAGAGAAACAGGTAGCAGCAGTGACAGAAAAGCATCTTCTGGTGAGAGGGTGTGGTGAATTAGACACAAATAGGCAATACTGCAGCAAAAAGGTAAGGGAGGCTACCATTCCTCATGAGGCACATTGTCCCTTTTTCTCCTGCCACAGGACTACATGGGGACAGGTAATGGGCGGGGGGAAAGAAAGATTAGTGTCTGGGCAAGTAATACACGGGAAAGCCCCCACCCAACCTGTCACACACTCTCTGCTGCTGCTCTGCTCCTAAATCCTTTGTCTCTGGCAAAGCATTTTCTGCTCAGGCTATATGAGAGTCCTTCCTTTGCTGTAGTGCTTCTTTTGCTGTCTCTTTGCATCTGAAGCCTCCAAAGGATTGCTCAATAAACTGCACTTCATCTGGGATATCACAGAAAGGCTCTCCCTGATTGTCATGATGTACCTCTGCATAGCCTGGGCTGGTGGGCAGCAGCCAGAGCTCAGGACACCCCACTACCACCACCCTGGGTCTGCAGCCCCTCTTCACCTGGAATCACAGAAAAGGCAGGGGGCAGCTGTGATCAATGGCACAGGGAACCTGGCATACATGGATAGCAACAAGCAGCAACCTTTAGAGCTAAGTTTGGCTTCACCAAACACAGACAGCACTAACAGTGTGACCCAACAGGTCTCCTCATCTAGAGACACCAAGCTGGTGTTTCCTGTCCTGCCACCTGCCAGTGCCCCAGCTCTTATGCTATGTAGCACACTTCAGCACACATGGAACTAAGTACTCCTCAAAAACTGTTCTTTACATGTCCAGAGAGGGCTTCTCGATGAGAAATACCTCTATCCTCACAGTAATTTTGCATGTTATTGTAACATTATTGGAAACCCAAAAGGCCTATGCCTAACCTCTACAGTAAGAAGTCTTAAGAATGAGTAACAGATATTTTCAGTAGTTCCTTTAAAATGGGAGCTGCTTCATGATTTTCAGTTTCCATTCCTGCTTTAAGAGGTTAGTTTTATTCAGAAATTAACTCCTGAGTGAACATGTCATTGTATCTCTGCAGGAATAATTTTTCTTCATTGATTTTTCTATATTTGAGAAGCTTGCAAATACACTATTTTAAATTACAGCCCTATGTTATATTCCTGAAGAAATGTCCAGCTTTGCCATTTCAGTCATTAATATGAAAGCAAGTGCTTGTGGGGAAAAAGGGTAATCCCAATGTCTGATCCCAACAGTGGGTTAAAGGCTGGGTTAGATTTGTCCACCCAAGTGGTTCAGATTTCATGGTATTTGTTGTAAGAAATAGCCAGCCTTGTTGATGTCAAGCAAAGGGCAAATCTGTGCTTTGCAGCAGGTGTGGTGTGATCCTGTGGTCTCATCCTCACCCAGAATGGGTATCCAGTACACAGCTGCCCTCCTGCCCTGCCACATTCTCCCACATCATCAGCTCATGCATGGGCTGGTCAGACCTGGTTGTTGCAGAAATGCTTTGGAAGGATCCTGGTTTGGGCAAGTCCACACCACACATGTTTGATGGGCTCTGTGACTCCAGTAACCTTCTAAATAAGCTCCTCACAGTGCCACAGGTGCGTTTAAAAAGAGCAAATCCAGTGAAGTGTCCCTTTAGCTTGTATTATACACACAACAAGAGAAACATCCTCTGATGTTTCTCATGACTGCACCTGTACCACATCCCTGTCAGCCCAGCTGCAGTCTTTGAGTGCTTTTCTGTTGTTGCCATGTAGGGTAAAATACTACTGACTAGAAGGCCCTGCCATCCTCTTAAATATGTATTTTTTCATCTAGCATGCAGAGATTTCTGGTTTCCATATCATAAAATCTGCAATCTACTATTGCAGGTAGATAAAAATATTAATTAACTGATGGACACTTTAGCTGGCCTCAATAGCTCAAGCTACATGTATGTTTTTTAAAGGGACCCTGCAGCTGTATGTAACCTAATCAAGCAAAAAAACTTCCAGAAAAAATATTATTGGTAAATAGTTTTAGAAATGTAGAAACATTTAGAA